GGTCAAGTGGCATAACCTAGTCCATGAAATCAGTGTTCTACACCCACTTTAGTGAGCAACAGCTGGGACAACTACTGGCTTCTCCCTGTCTGAAGGAAAGGGGAGTGATGGAAACTAGACACACGGTAACAAGTAGTCCCGTGACCAGTGGACCCCGTGAACGTCAGTGTCCACCACACTGAGACCAGAAGAACTAGATGGTGCCCAGCTACCACTACCAAGTGCTCTGAAAGGGGGCCCATTAGAAGGTTCTGGAAAAATGGGGGACTCTAAGGGGAACACCACCACCAGGGAGGGGCACACACCTTGCGATAACCCACCATTTGAGATATAAAGGGCAGCATTTGCCCAAGGATGAAGCTGAGAAGCAAGACGGGAACCAGGCAGCCCAGGGAGGAAGTGGGAGGAATGATGTCACATTGTGGGGACTGCGGTCACTGAGATGAAACACAATGTGTGGGAACTGTTGAGGGGAAAACTGTTCGGTTTTGTAAACTTTCATCCAATTCACAATAAAAAGAATGCTATACAAGTAAGTATATTTTCATTGACACAGACACAACTTATTGTGTGAAAAAAGTTGCAAAACTGTATTTAAACCTTGATTCCAATATTGTAGGTTTGTGTGTACATACACCTGGATGTAAATCTAGACACCTACAAACACGTCAACCATGCGTCTGTGATGTTGTTCGTTAGCCGATGCTGACTTGATGCTGGCTCATGGAGACCCCAAGTGGCAGAGTCTGATGGCTTCACAGCATTCTCAAGGCTGTGCCTGTCTCCCACGGTGACTCTGGGTGAGTTTGAACCGCCAACCTTCTGCAGTCTGGTGGTGGTGTTGGTTATGTGCTGTGGAGTCGGTTCCGACTCATAGCGACCCTGTACAGGGTTTCCGAGGCTGTCAATCTTTACGGGAGCAGAAAGCCTCATCTTTCTCCTGCTAACAGCTGGTAGTTTCAAACTGCTGACCTTGAGGTTAGCAGCCCGACTCAAAACCACTACACTACCAGAGCTCCTTTTTGGACTCTGTTGTTGTGTGCCGTCAAGTTGGTCCCAACACACAGCGACCCTGTATAGGGATTTCGAAGAAGCGGCTGGTGACCTTGAACTGCCGACTTTGTGTTCAAACCGACTTTGCAGTCCAGCGCATTAACCCACAGCACCACCCCAGGCCTACATTATTTGAGTCACCCAGGGACTCCTGCTTTATAGACAGTCCTAAATTACGTATACCAACTTACGGGTCTTTTCAAGTTCTTCTTTGTAACAAAGACTATGTATTCCTCAGGTAATTTAGAGAGAGATCTAATATTAAAGAAATAGCGCGATCCCATGTACTCAGAGCAAACAGCTCAGTTTTGTGGACATCCCAGGGCTCAGGTGTGGCTGGTTGTATAACTGTCACTCAATATGAAGGATCAGTAAAGTTGTAAGTTGCTTTCCTCTTGCTACTTTTCCTTCTCTGAAAGTCTAAGTGCTTTCTCTCAGAGTGTCAGGGTTCGTTTCATACATCTGGCCCCATGCCTCGGATCAAACTGATCAGAGCTGATTCTGTCACATGCACTAATGGAAGGAAACCATGAGGAACCGGAATCTCTGATCAAAGAAACGGTCCTTCCTCACTATTGGTGTTAAGTGCTGTGGAGTCACAGATGTGTCTACATCCCAAACAAAAACATAACCATTTGTAACTCTCGGCTCTTCCCTTCTCTGCATGAGCAATTCCATTCAGACACCATTAGATGGAGTCCAGGTTTGGGCGGGAGAGGAGGATGCATGTGTGTGAGTGTGTCTGCATGCATGTTGCAGGGGGAGCAAGCTGGGAAAACTGCAATGATTCCACACAGGTGCAGTGACCGAAAATGCAAGCAGTATGAAGATAACAGGATCTCCTTTGACTGTCAAAGAAGGAAGTCACAAATAAGAAATGGGAGCCGACGAGAATGAACTCTATGCTATGGTCTGAATTTATGGTTATTTAATGGATGGAGAGGGTGGGAGGGGAGGGAAATGCAGGCATGAATGTGTACGCACGAATGTAAGGACAGACACACACAGGTGTATGGATCCTCCAGCTCTGGTCACAGGGGACTGGGCAACAGCAACATCCCATTTGCTAAGCACACCAAAGCCTGGTATCAAGACCAATAAAGCCAAGAAGAGACCACGGCTCTGTCCCACACTGACTGACACGGCCAATGCCACGAGGTCTACAGGCCCCCCACGATTCTGGACCGGACCCGTTCCCACCAAGGACATTACTGGGGTAACTGCTGACGCTTAAAGGAGGGTGGGGGGTTAGATCAGAGGAAGGTGCTGTTGGGAATCCCCTGACTTGCTCACAGGCAACCCCGAATGACGTGCCTGGAAACCACTAGAACAAATCAGGGACTGAATTTCAAATGGTTTGGTGGTGGCGGTGGCGGGTGTGTACTGTCGAGTAGGTTTACAGGAACAGAAAGCCTGCTCTTTTCCTCACAGCTTCTCAGCCCAAACTGTAACCCGGACTCCTTATCAAAAGGTTTGGGGAGGAGGGGGAGGTGGGAAGTGCGTGCTTTGTTCTACTTGTGATCATTCTGAGTAAACTGTGAAATAGTAATAATAGCGATGGCTCCGAGGATATAGTAATAATAACGATGGCTCCGTTCCTCGTAGCAGAACGCGAGGAGAAAGCAGCAGTCCTGTGTAGGAACAGCAGAGACTGCCGAAGAAGAGCTACCGTCAGCAGGAACGTTTCAAAGACTAATGCTTCTAGGGCAGTGGTTTGGGAGGCCCAAGCGGTCACATGTGGAGGGCTCCTGAGTTGCTGTAATGAAAGCCTCAAGTGGGGTATCATTTACCTTAGAACTACTCAATGAGCCTTAACTGGAACAAAGGTCAAGAGTTTTCACTCCGTATCAACCTCCCCAGGTCAAGCTCCGCTAGGAAAGCCTGTTCCCTGGACCCGCGGGGAAAGGCCGCTCACCGTTTGTGTGCCTCCTGCTTACTGCGGCATTCCTCACAGTAGTATTTGTACTCGCTGCACAGTGTCTCCGTGTTGCTGAAGCCCCTGCCAACATCAGAACACATCTGTTTTCCAAGTACCCGGGAAAGAAAAAACAAACCAAACCAAACCAAACCGCGTATTCATCTCAAAACCATCTAAACCAAAGACAGTCTCACTCTATTTTATAAACGAGTTAATGCCAGAAAATACCTTAAGCAGTGAGTAATGGAAGTGTTTTGTTCCACATCAACAGAAAGGTCTAAGAAGTCTTCATCTTTGCTGCTTATCTGCAAAAACAAGGAATTTTCTTCAAATATCAGCCAGTCACTTATTCCCGATAGGTAGAGCACCCATGCTCTGGGACCCTCGGAGCATCTCGTGCTGACCGAGTCCACAGCGCACCGTACTGAACTGCCCACTGACCAGCACTTGTCAGCTGGCCTTTACCAGCCTACAAGTATCTTGAGATCATTGAGTATGTTTTAATCATCTTCTCTCTCTCCTTCTATCTGGGATCATTGGTGCGCAAGCTCAGGGGTGCCACTGGACGAAGAAATGACCCTGGACTTCAGCCTCCAGGTTGGTGTGATAGGTGAGATGTGCCCAGGGGCCATTTACTAAACTACCTGATGATGCCTTAGCTTTTGAGCAAAGAGTCTCAGTTCAAAGTCTTCATTTTTGGCATGTTATCTGCAAGTGTGTTGTTGTTAAGTGCTGTCAAGTCGGTTCCAACCCATAGCGACCCTGTACAGGGTTTCCGAGGGTGTAAATCCTTATGGGAGTAGAAAGCCTCATCTTTCTCCCGCGGAGCGGCTGGTAGTTTTGAACCGCTGACCTTAAGGTTCGCAGCCCGATTCGTAACCACTACGCTACCAGAGCTCCTTCTGCAAGTGTGTAGTGTGGGTCAATGACCAGGTGAAGAATGGTTGGTACCCATCCATTACAAACCCCATCAGTACACACGTGATGTACACACGTGATGTGCACTTAGAACACGAAGGGCTGGTATTACGTCCTCCTTTAAAAGCTTTCAATCCTCACCCTCTACCATCCCCAGTCTGTACAGCATCTGAGTACGGCGTCCCAAAAGCCTCCACCCAGGTATGTTCCCCAAACTCACCCCCCTACTGTATTTCTCAGAATGCTAATAAGCAAATTCAGCTGCTGAATGTCACTGAAGAAGGCTGTATTACACACATTCTGACATCGCCTACCACAAGCCAAACTCCGTAACAACCAGCAAGGACCTGCCAGTCCTCACCAGACCTATGTTTTGAATTAACACAGAAGAGGGTTATACCTGTTTCCCAAGGCCTGGAATCCCATCATAACACAATTTTATCATAGCTAACAACAACAACAAAAAACAAAAAAAAAACTAGGGAGCGTGGTGGCTCTGTAGGATAAGCACTGGACTGTCGCTGGGAACATGAAAAAGAAACAAACACACTCTCTGACCAGAAGATTCTTCTCTAAGCTGAACATGGACATGCAATTTCCACCACAGGGCTGTCTGGTTGAGTTTCAATGGCTATAAAGCAGTGATTTATCACCTCAGGGATTGGTGGTCCATCAGCAGGATTGCTAAAACTCACAAGTAGAATCACACTGCGTGAAAACTACCATGTTTTATGCAAAAGTCGTGTGTGTTACACGCGTTTTCCAAACCAGGAAGCCCCGGGGCCTAAGGCTCCTCTGCGAGTTATATGCGTGTGCACGTGTGAATTATAGTATTTACCCGGGAGCGCCGTATTTGGAAAATGCGGCACACGGCTAACATCTGCACCACACCTATGGATAACAGCTTTCATATTCATCTCTCAAACCTTCACCAAAGAACTGTCAACACAGTGGACGCCATTCTCCCCACATCGAGTGCTACGATATACTCACAGTTTCACAAGTAAGACACCTGGTTTCGTTAGTTAATGTTCCCTGAAAAATCTCGTGGACCCAGGTGGGGTCGGCGGTGGTGGTGTTCTCACTGTCGATGCTGCCGTTCGGCAAGCGGCCATTCTGCTTCTCCTGCTTCCTCTCTTCTTGCAAAATATCAGCGATTGTATTTAGCAGGTAATTTAAGAATTCGTGGGCATCTTGCTGCATGTAGTTGTCAAAAAGCTCTGGGGGACACAAAATCGTGTGAGATAATTAATTGAGAATTAGCAACTTTAAAAATAACTGAAAAAGAACAAAGATGGTATTCTGTGAGTACTTATGATAAACGTCGGAAATTGCAAACAAAGTACAAGCAGTAACAAGACTTTAAAAACATCATCATCTAATCGGGGGTGGGGGACGGGAGTGAGAATGAATGAGATGCTCTAAAACATAAAACCAACTAAACACAATACTAGATGGTCCATGAATAAAGGACACAAGAGATCTGCACGCATGCCATGACAGGTACTGGGAAGCTAAGAAATGGGTTTTTATTTAGCTCATTCAATCTATTATTGCACAAATATTGCAAGAAGGCAAATCTGCAAACACAACCCCTTTCAGCCAATCTCCTGCCAAGGCTGTGTTCTGTGGGCTGCACGTGAATCACATCGGAAGTTTGCTTGGTGTCAAATACTGGACATTACTCCCTGGAGACCGGGGTCAGGGTACCGGGGTTTCCAAAGTTTCCCCAGCTGGTTCTGATGTGCAGTCAAGATGTAAGAACAATGAGGGAGCTTCAAAAAGTTTATTGAAAAATGGAATAAAAAGACATTGAGATTTTCCCATGAACTTTTTGAAAGCCCCTTGTGTTTCTGTTTAAAGAACACACTTTTTGTCACCTGTGCGAGCCCTACCCCCCAGCCCCCTACCCACAAGTGTGCGATTTGCCTAAGTAGAAAATGTGTGGAACATGTTATTCTATACCTGGGGGTTAGGGTAGATAACATGCTGGCATCCGGGATTATCTGTTTAATCCTGATCATTTCTAAGGTCCCTTCCAAAAGTGCGCTGTATCCCCCTCTGTGCGATGCTCCGTGTAATTACACCAGTGAGCAAGCGTCCTAGAAATACCAATAGCTGGCACCCTGTGCTTGGCCCCCACACCCTGAGAGAGAGGACTCGATCCTCTAAGCCGCCCTGTCAGAGTGCTAACAGTTCTATGTGACTCAAGCCCAGTGACGGGGGGAATCACACTGCTGGGCAGTGGCAGAGCCGGGATTCGAACTCAGCAGCCTCACCACACCACAAAGCCACACGCCCGTGAGAATACACTCTACAGAGTAACACCTCAGCAGTAATGGGATATCTCATACAAGTCAGTCACTGAGGAAAAGAAACCTATTTAGGACACTTTATTTTTACAACCTTAATGGACATATAATAAACCCCAGAAAGAGGACAGGTAACGTTGATGAAGTTGACAGCATACAGATTTAGCAGAAGTGTTAGGGACAACCTTTTCAAGGAGAAAGGGCATTTAAAAATGCCACTTCAGAAGTGTTACAATAAGACGAAATAAAATTAAACTCTACACGTTGGTACTCATAAAACTGACCCGGAAATCACTGTCACCATCAATGTATAAAAGAGCTCCTATGAAAGACATGTGGGCAAGAAGGTGAAGCCCGTAACTTACAGAAAAACCCTATGAAGCAAGGGAGCACTGTGGCACTGCAGGATAAGCACTGGGCTGGTAACCACAAGGTCGGCAGTTTGATCCCACCTATCGCTGTGAGTCCTGGTGTGGCGCTGTGGGTTAATGCGTCAGACTGCAAAGTCATTTGAACCCGCAAGATCAGTGACTCAAGCTCACCAGCTTGCTCCTTGGAAACTCTATACAGGGTCGCTATGGGTCGGAACCAACTCAACGGCACTTAACAACAACAACAACATTGCTCTGAGGGAGAAAGATGAGGTTTTCTGCTCCTGTAAAGATATACAGCCTCAGAAACCCTGTACATGGTCGCTATGGGTCAGAACCGACTCGACAGCACTTAACAACAACAAACCCGGTACTGGGTTGCTATGAGTCCAAAGTGACTTGATGGTGCTTCACCACCACTACGTGGGAATCAAAGCTCCTGATTTTCCTGAAAGTCCAGTGAGATCTCCTCCTCCTTTCCAAGGGTTTTATAAAGCAGACCAGGAAAGAGTGGAAGTAAAGCTGGTTTAATCGCAATGTCAAAAAGACCTTCCTGAAAAGCATCATGTTTAGGTCTAGGTTCTTGTCTAGCTCCAACGTCATGCACGCCACTCACTTGTCTCCCTAAGCACGGTCCACACCGGAGAAACGGGGCTTAGAGTAGGACCCACACCTCAAGGGTCCGTTGTTTGTTCTTCAAAGTGCAACATTACAAGCACTTACAGATCATAAGCACGTGCTGCCACTACTGTTCCACAACAGAACACACACACAAACACACGGGTGAGCACACACAAAGACACACACATACACCCAGAAAGCCACAAAGAAAAAGCCTGACTGGATAAAAATAAAGACTTTTTGTCTGGCCCAAATGTCCAAAACAAAGACAAGTCATGAGCTAGGAGAAAATACAGGCTCACAATGACCCATGAATACGTAAAGGCTTCACATCTGAAACCCTCCAAGGACTGCTTTACAAACCAAGAAAGGGGGCCCCAACCAAAAAATGGGCAAAGAGATCAAAGAATACACAGGTGTGAGTAGAAATGTGAACGGCCAAATGACAGCCAGAGACTTGTAACCAGACACCACAAGGACCCTCCTCTGCCCATCCCTTGGACAACACACCCGGTGACCACAAGGACCCTCTTCTGCCCATCACTTGGACAGCGCGCGCCCAGTGACCATAAGGACCCTTTTCTGCCCATCCCTTGGACAGCAGACCCGGTGGCCACAAGGACCCTCTTCTGCCCATCACTTGGACAGCGCGCCCAGCGTCTCGGCCACAGTTGCTGGGAGCCTCCGCTGGCATGGTCGAGAATGCAGCTTAACTGCCTGAGCCCTCAGTTCCCAGTCCGTGCTGGAGTGAAGCTTGCGGGGTATCTCAGCTGCTCGCCTACAGTGACGTACGTCTGGAAATACCCCGTTAGCAGTAGCATCAGGCTTCATTTCCACGGGGTACTACCATTTTGTGATGGGACACTGGGCAACACTTAAAAAAAAGAAGTTGTTCTGTGTGAACCGACACAGTAACACTTCCCAGATAGTAGTAAGCAAATAGAAGCCAGGATGTAGTAGGATCCCATTTAAGAGAACGAACAAGAACAGCCACCACCAAAAACATCCCCACAAAACATGACTCCGGTATTCTGGACTGCTGATGTTAAATGACTGTTTAACAGATTCCAACTCACGGTGACCCCACACGGGTACAAAAGGAACTGCGCTCAGTAAGACGACAAAAGTGTCTCATGAACAAAAATTAAAATTGGTTCTTTCCAAGGAATAGCCTAAAGTGACAGCTGGGGAAAGTTTTTAACACAGCACACAAGGAAAGCGAGTGGGAAGAACGGCTCAGCGTCTTTGTGGAACAAAATTCATTCTCTTTTCCATTCCGTCTTTGACCAATGTTTTGAAGCCCCCTGTTACTTCAAAGCACAGTTACAAGTTCCAGCAGCAGCATCCAAATAAGAGTGCATTTCTATTAAAGATCATTTCTGAAGTGTAGAAGAATTACATACAGACAGCTGGGGAGACGGCAGGTTTGGAATAAATATCCATTCTGAAATTAGCTTCTTTCAAAGTTTGACCAAGTCTCTGTACTGTCTTACCTTGCCATTGAAAAGAATCAGAAAGCACTGATTGCTACTGCTAAGCAATAAACACTGTCAAACTAGCCAAGCTTTGACAAGCAACATACAAAGCCACAGATCAGTTCATCAGAGTCCCGCAAACCACAGTGTCTGAACTCTACGTTCAGCAAGAGAGTCAATCTACCCTACAAGAACCTGGGGGGGGGGGGGGATGTAAGGAGCACAGAGCCATGCTGCAGGACAGAGCAGAAGTGCCCACAGGGTTCCCGAGGACAAGAAAAACAGACATGCGCTTGGGAGCAACGTATCGATGGCTTGGTATTTATGTGTGTGTGTGGGGGGGAAAAATACAAAAGCAAAAAAAAAGAAAACAGTCTGATTTCAACAAAAAATTCAAAGCAGGAGATGAGCCTGTCTAAAACAGGTTAAAGACTTCTCAAATTCTGTCGGCATCTTTCTATTTCACGGAAGATGTGAAGCCCGCACCCAGCTTTCGTTTTACACTGACTGAAATGCCGACATCAGACACGATTCAGAATCCCATGTGCTACTGAACCTCCTTGTGCATGTCTGGAAGGCGGCACACTGGGAGACCAGCTTACCGGTGGTGTGTCGCCGCACACGGTACATTAGCTTCTTGGCGCCTGAATGCCAAGTGGAGTAATGGTATCTAATTGCTTACTGTGACCATTCAATGAGAAATATTTTCACGGAGAAAAAAGAGGAGGTGGGGCCAACTCAGTAAGGACTTTAAAAGGGAAAGGACCATCAATTTTTAAATCAACTGACATCGAGTTGGTGCCAACTCACAGCAACCCTAGAGAACAGAGCAGATCTTAGGGTTTCCAATACTGGCAGCCTCATTGTTCTGCATCAGAGCAGCTGGTGGGTTCAAACCACCGACCTTGTGATTAAACGGCCCAATGCCTAACCCAGTGTGCCAGCGGGGTAGGGACTGGGGGGCGGGGCACAGGGGGATGAAAACAGATCTACCTAAAACTATCTAAGCATGACTGCTGGTTCTAGCTCTTGGTAAGTGTCCCCGGTTTCAATCCTCCCCGGGGCCCTCAGAGCGGCCATCGTGGAAAGCAAGTAAGTGGCCTACCTCAGATTGCTGCAGGGACTGACTGGATTACTCTGTTTAAGAGCTCTATGAAACCAAACACACAACAGAGTGGACAAACCTCATTCTTGGTAGACAGGCCAAGCAGGCCACCCAGAGACATGACGGTTTCTCATTTCCTGGCAGAGAAGATTTGATTTCTGTGCAACCCACTTCAATGAGCCCTGGTGGCCTGGTGAGTGAGGCATTGCGCTACTAACAGAGAGGTTGGCTGTTCAAACGCACCAGCTGCTCCGTGGGAGAAAGATCAGGCTGTCTGCTTCTATAAAGATTTATGGCCTTGGAAACCCTGCAAGAGGGCAGTTCTACTCTGTCCAGTGGGGTCACTACCAAGTCCCAATTGACTTGGCAACAGTGTGCAGCCTTCCTGTGAGCAGACGTAAGCAATGCGTTAGGAAGGAGAGGAAGAATTACCGTTTTCTTTCCGTAATCTTGTTATGAACTTCTTAGGAGGTATCACACCAACCTTTTTCTTCTGAGTGGCTATGCTGTGGAAGAGGTCTGCCAAGCAGGTGAGGAGGCTCTCTTTCTTCCTAGGTTGGCTCTTGTAGGCTAGGACTTTTTCCCGAAAGGGGCGGCAAAAGTAAAGTGCTTGAAGAACTGAATTGCAGTAGCAGGTGTTCCCGAACTAGAAGGAAGAAAGAGAAAAAGGATTCTGTGAAATTGGAGGCAACTCATTCTTAACAGAATTTCCATCACTGACGATGAGGGAGCTTCCAAAAGTTCTGTTCTCTTTTCTTCCCAGTGTCCCACCAACTTTTGGAAAGCCCCACGAGGTGATGGAGAGGAGACATTTATGATGTGTGCTGTGGTTGTTTGGGAAGGCTCGGCTCAGGGTGGCAACCTTGTACAGCAGAGGAGCGGCTGGTAGGTTTGAACTGCCAGCCTCACGGTTAGCCATCCAATACTTTTCCTACAGTGCCACATCAAGGCTCCAAAAGTAAGGCTGTTAGCATCACTGTACCAGCAATGACTCATAGCAACCCTGCCTGTACGGGGTTTCAGCTTTAAATCTTCGCCGGGAGCAAAAAGTCTCATTGGTCTCCTGCGGAGTGACTGGCAGGCTCGAACCAGGGACCTTGTGGTTTATAGTGCAGTGCTGATCGTAAGAAGCCACCCGTTCCCTATGATGATGCCTTTACACCGAAAGAAACCTGAAAGCACAGAAATCATTTTTCTGTACACAAAGTAACAATTGTTACATGAGATGCACGCTCTAGGCAGAGGTTTCAGGTTCAAGGTGAAGGCAGTCGGATGAATGACCTTGACCTTTATGTAAAATGACTGAAAGCATAGCCCGGCATGGTTTCAGCCGAGAGATTCGTTACGGTTTAGGATTCTGGGTAATTTTGTTCTTCTTCTCTTTTTAACTTCCATTATTACAATATAAAGCTAAGGGCTTCAAGAAGGAGCTCTGGTAGCGTAGTGGTTACGAATCGGGCTGCGAACCGCAAGGTCAGCAGTTCGAAACTACCAGCTGATCTGCGGAAGAAAGATGAGGCTTTCTGCTCCCGTAAAGATTTATAGCCTCGGAAACCCTGTACAGGGTCGCTGTGGGTCAGAACCGACTCGACGGCACTTAACAACAACAATAACAAGGGCTTCAAAATCCTCATGGAAAAAGCCCATTATATTTTTATTCTATTTTTCCATGAACTTTTGAAGCCCACTCATACTGGCTGTGCAGTAAGCATTTTAACTATTATAAATGTTTAACTATTAACTCTCAAACATTGAAAAAAGAAAAACGTGAGACTTTCTTTCAGCTTCTTAGGTGTCACCTTTAAAAACAAAAAACGGGGGTGGGGGGACAAGATCATCTAAAATGTGAGATTAAAATTTATCAAGAGACCATGCAATGAGCTGAAATGGTCAATCCCATTCTTCTTGAAATACTAGACAGACCGGCTCTTCTCAGGCAGGGTCAAATCCTGAACTTGGATCTACTTCTTACCAGCCAGGGAATCTAAAGCATGTGTCCTAACAACTTAGCGAACGTCAACCTCCACCTTTAAAAAAATGTTTCATGAGGGAGGAAGTGGGGGCGGGTGGGGTGATCCAACCTACCTGAGTAAATGAGACATAGTTTGACAGATAGATACTGATCACCCTTCTCTGCCCCTTGAAGAGACTTTGGTTCCCAAAGTCTGCTAATGAAACACCCCAAGAGTTAGTGGGTGAGAACCCCCCAATAGTAGGAAACTGTAGAAAATCAAGGAAGGAAATTCTCATACTACCACCGGGAGGGCTACATTTATGTGGACTTTTTGAAGTTAGGTACTGAACAGAATTATAAATGAGCAACAGAGTCAAATAGGTATGAGCGGACTTGAAAAAGTTCATGAAAAGATGGAATTAAAAGACCATGGAATTCATACATAAATTAACACATACTAGCTTTTATTTTCAGAAACACAAGAATACATTAAAAACTAATAAAAATGGTTAATCATGGGGAAAAAAAACCCACCAGCAAAAGGGCAGAGATGATAGGAATGATGAGACCCCAGCAACTGTACCTTGTTGTAAAAAGTTGACTTCATACTTCTACTTTATAAATCAGGGAAAGACAGAATCACCTCTAGGGGCTTCAGAACCCAATGTCCATACCTCCAAGGAGAACTAGTCCAAGAGTGAAGAATACAGGAGAGACCATAAAGAAATGCCAGCATCACTCAGCAGACATATTCTTAAAATTATATTGATACGATTACTTGAAACTTGGATCGATACTTTTGTAGGTTGTAGCAAGCATGTTAATATGTCAACACCGTTAGGACTAAGGAGTCCTGGCGTGACGCTGTGGGTTAATGCACTGGGCTGCAGTCAGTTTGAACCACAAGGCCGGCAGTTCAAGCTCACCAGCTGCTCCTAGGAAACCCTATACAGGGTCGCTATGGGTTGGAACTAACTTGATGGCACTTAGACAACAACAATTAGGACTAAGGAAAGGAAATACGATAATAAACAACAACAATTAGGACCAAGGAAAAGAAATACAGTAATAAAACACAGACAGGTACAAAGCCTGATAAACATCAGCTGGAACTGTTACTGTAGCACATACACAGACCTTGTGTGAGTACATATAACACAGTGAATTACTTCTATGGCTCTTCTACCACCAGACAATTTTTTTTCCCACATGGACCTGGGTTAAGAGAAAGCGGGGTGATGCCATGTTGTTGCTGCGGTGTGCTGTCGCACCAGCTCTGACTCAGCGCCGCTGCGTGGGGGTTTCTGAGGCTGTAAATCTGCAGGGAAGCAGAAAGCCTCATCTTTCTCCTACAGAGCAGCTGGTGAATTTGAACTGATGATCTTGCAGTTAACAAGCAGTTCAGCTTAATAGGAGTGGGGCTGTGGTTTATAGGAGATAAACAAAAAGGGGCTTTCCACATGTTACCTGGAGTGCTGGTGTGGTGCTGTGGGTTAATGCGCCAGACTGCAAAGCCTCCTCGGAAACCCTATACAGGGTCGCTATGGGTCACAATGGACTCAACAGCACTTAACAACCACACGTTATCTGGGTTCTGCTTCCTTTGCCACCAGATTGGAAGAACTGGATGGTGCCTGGCTACTGTTACCAACTGTTTTGATCAAAGATTTTATAGAAGAATCCTGATCAAAGGGTTGGGGGTGCAAAAAGGACCTCAGATTCTCATGGAATCCAGACTTTCTGGATCTTGGGAGGCTGAACACTATTGCCCCGAGAGCATCTTTAAACCTTATCCCGTAACGTCACTGTAACCAAACAGCTGTTGTTGCTAGTGTTAAGTGTCATCGAGTCGGTTCTGACTCATACGACCTTGTACAGGGTTTCCAAGGAGTGACTGGTGAGTCTGAAGCACCGGCCTTGTGGTTCAAACCGACCTTACAGTGCTTTATCCCACAGCGACATAGTCTAGCTTAGTTAGCAAAGAATGCCTGCCCTGTGTCTTGTGCTTTCTCAGAACTATCAACAGGGGATCAAACTGACAAGAGCTCAAAGGTTACCTAGGAAACTGAGGGGCAGTGAGTCAAGGCCAGTGGGGGGGAACAGTTCGGGAAAGGATGTCATCAATGACACTGAATTGTCTACGTGGAAACTGGTGAACAGGTGTTACGTTTTACTGTACATTTTCTCAACAACAACAAATTACAAAAGAAGAAGCCTTACTCTATGTATTATGCAAACTATAGTTGGTAAACATACACATGATCAACAAGCACCAACTACCATAAAAGCTCTGATTTGTGGTAATATCTGCAACTGAAATGATGAATTACAGGTGGCATCTAACAATGCTGAGTAACAAGTATGTCAATTTTTCTGTTAGGTTAATGAAACTGTTGGTTACGTTATAACAATAATATTACATGCCATAAAAAGCAAATCAGAATTATGGATAATCCAACCCCTAGTGGGCACAGGAAAGAAAGGAAATCCGAAAGAGCAAATAGCAACTCTTTCAGATATTCTTTTTGTAGAGAAATGAAAACGAACCTCAAAACGCAAGCTTAGCTAAATACAGCTGATGGAAAGAATATATGTGTGCCTCATCTTAACATGATGCAGTTGGTAGGAAAGGTTAGCCACATGTTCTTACAACAGTCCACATTTTTATTTGTACAGTGTGGGGTCCTCATGTGGCACTGTAGGATAGGCACTCGACTGCAAGATCACTTTGAACCTCAGGGTCGGCAGTTCAAACTCACCAGCCACTCCTTGGAAACCCTACATAGGTTCGCTCTGAGTTGGAACCAACTGGATGTCACTGAACAACAATAGTTAAAAGCATATTTTTATAGTATTAACTGTTTATAAAACAAGGATACTTCTAAAACAGCGTATTGCTGGGGGCTGTCTTGTCAGTTCCAAGTCTGAGTGACCCCATGGCACAGAACAGAAGTACCCATAGGGGTTTCTTATAGGAACAGGACACCGAAGTTAAAATGCTGACTTTTCAATGAACTCTGTTACCACCTTCAAGAGGGCCAATCTGAATTTTTAAGGTGTGGCGCTGTGGGTCCATGCGCCAGACTGCAAAACCGTTTGAACTGCAAGATCGGAGGTTCAAGCTCACCAGTTGCTCCTCAGAAACCCTACACAGGGTTGCTATGAGTCGGAACCGACTCAACGGCACTTAACAACAACATGTGGTGCTGTAGGATAAGCACTGGACCGCAAGGTTAGTTTGAACTACAAGGTTGGCAATTCAAACCCACCAGCCGCTCCTGAGAAACCCTCTGTAGGGTCACTATGAATTGGAACCAACTCGATGGCAATGCAGGCAAGTACTGAGCTGCTAACCACAAGATTGGCGGTTCAAACCCACCAGCTGCTTCTCAGAAATCCTACACAGGGTGGCTGTGAGTCAGAACCAACAATGGGCAGTATGAAGGGGACGGGCACAAGAGGGAATCAGAGAGAAGGAAGCTCAGATGCAAACATCAGGACGAACCGGAAAAGGTTCATAAACCACACGGGTTCTCTAAGGTGTTCTGGTGGTTCTGCAGATCAAGCGCTGGGCTGCTGACTGAAAGGTCGGCAGTTCAAACCCACCATCCACCCCTCAGGAGGACGGCACGGCTGTCTGCTCCCATACAGATTTGTAATTGTTAAATGCTACTGAGTCAGTTCCGACACAT